CAGGTGGGGGGTGGGTGGGGGACTGGGGAGCTGCGGGGCAGGGCCAAGGAGGGAGGGGAGAGTGAGCCCGGGCCGCCCCCCACCAGCTCAGCAGACCATCTGCGGGCAAGATAGAGTTGAATGAGGTGCGGCCCCGCACTCAAGGGCTCACCCGCTAGCAGGTCAAGCCTCAGAATGCAGGAAACGCCCCTTGAACAAAGCAGACCAGAAAGAAAAATCATCCAATCAAAAGGTGAGCCGTGGCTCTGGCCAGTGTGGGTAAGTGGTTAGAGCACTGGCCCTGGCCCCAAAGGGTCGCGGGTTCAATTCCCGGTCAAGGGCACGAACCTGGGTTGCAGGTTGAATCCCTGGCCCTGGACGGGGCACCTGCAGGAGGCAACGGATTGATGTGGCTCTCTCACATCGATGTTTCTCTCCCCCCCCCTCCCCTTCTACTCTCTCTAAAAATAAATGAAAAAAAGTATCCTCGGGTGAGGATTAACAAACATAGTGAGCCATGGACATGAACGGACACCTCACCAAAGAGAATAGGAAGATGGCAACAGCCCGGGAAAAGGTGCTCAGCATCACTGGTCAGGAGAGGATGCAACGGAAACCACGGCGAGGTGCCACCGCCTCCCCGCCACTCCCACCCCACCCCGCAGCCAGGAGAACGGCTAAATGAGAGGCCGAGCACAGCAAGTGCCGGCGAGGACGTGGGGCGCCCGGACGCCCATGCACCGCTCGGGTTGGACACAGTCCAGTCGAGCTGCAGCTACTCATCCCGTGAGACCCCGTCATCTCACCCCGAACAAACACGGGCTCTCGCGTGCATGTGGCAGAATGGTCCCAGCAGCACCGAACGTGACGAGACAACCCAAATGGGCAGCCACAGGCCAAAACGAGGCCAAAGGAGGAGGCATTGAAATGATGGGGCAGATAAACCTCACAGAGCCCCAGCGACACACCGACACTCAGGACTCCCCATCACATACATGTCTAGTGGAAGAAATAAGACGCAAAGCATACAGATCGTGGGCGTGGCTCAATGTATAGAAAGCCCCAAATGTGAGTAAAATGCAGCAATTGTTCGGGGTCTGTCCACAGGTGGTTCCCGGACTAAGAAGAGCAAGCGGGGGGCCCCCGTGGGATTCAGGGTGACGGCTGCCTCGGACGGGGAGGGACGGAGTCCCGGGAGGCACAGAGTGGACTCCCTGGTTGTAGTCTGCGTCTTGCCCCCACCTCCCGCCCTCGAGGCCGCAATACCGGTGGCCAGGAACCACCTCACTCCCCAGAGTTCCGGCCTCCCTGGTGCTTTCTGTCCGGAGTGTGGGCTGCAGCGTGGCCCAGAGAAACGGGCCACGAGGGACTGTGATCCGCCCCACCTCCTTCCACACCCCACACTGACTCTGGTCCCACCAGCTCTGTGCTCCTAGCCTCCGTTTCCCATCTGTCAAAGCCTAGCTCATAGGATAGGACAGCGAACACGGAGGTTTGGGAGCCCTGGCCGGTTTGGCTCAGTGGATAGAGCGTCGGCCTGAGGACCAAAGGGACCCGGGTTTGATTTGGTTCCGGTCAAGGGTATGTACCTCTCACAGCCGGGTCCCGGTCAGGGCTGGTGCAGGAGGCAACCAATAGATGTATCTCTCTCACATCGATGTTTCTCTCTGTCTCTCCCCCTCCCTTCCACTCTCCCTAAGAATCAGTGGAAAAATATCCACGGGTGAGGATTTAAAAATAAAAGAGCTTTGGGAGCTAAGGTTCGAAGGCCAGTGGTTGTGGGGGGCTCGGAAGGACAGCCAGGCCACTGCAAGGCTGTGGGCAGTGAGGCCCCCTCGAACCCGCAGGGGTTTCTGCTCCCCTGCCCGGGCGCCCCACTAGCCCCTCCTCCGCAGCCAATGGGCTGGGGCGCCCGGAGGAGGCCACACAGCCTACTTCCTGTTTTCAAACGGGGAACTTAGCAAAGTCACGGCCCGGAGCCCAAATGCAGAGCTGAAGGGGGCCCCATGACACCCCTCCCGGACCCCTGGACACTCACGGGGCCAGAAGCCGCAGGTCAGAGGTCAGTGTCGGATCCCACACTTAGTGTCCCTCTGGCCCCCGGGGCTCTGAGCCAGGCAGCCCAGGACCCACCCTCAGTACCTGTAGGGGGAAGGGTGGGCCCGAGACGGGTGGGTGGCAGCCTCGGTGCACCTTGGGGCAGCCCAGGGAGCCGCTCCTCAACCCTCCGCGGCCTCAGTTCCTTCGGAAGTGCCAGGCGCTTCTGCAGCCCCTCTTGGACCTGGGGAATATGTGTTTCTCAAACGGTGGTGCCAGGGAACCCCTGCACCAGCCTCATCCTGGGCGACTTGGGGAGTCCAGGGCCCACCCCCAGGCCTGTCAGACTGGACTCTGGTGCTGGGAGCCAGGGAGTCTGCTTTCTCCAAGCCCCCAGCACCCCTCCCCCGAGGAGGCTGTGATGGCAGCGGGGACAGTTCCAGCAGCGTGGCCCCCCCTCTGTCCAGGCCGCAGGAGCACAGGGTGCAGACCAGGCCTGGAGTCGGACAGGCCAGAGCTCAAGCCCAGCCCCACCCCAGGACCCACCCGCAGACCCAGGCCACCTGCACCCTTCGTGTTTTGAATCCCTTCTAATGTGTTCATTGTCCCTTTTTCTAATCTGCCTTAGATGTTTACAATGCTGCTCCAACTTCTACCTTGATTAAGAGTCATTTATTTCTCAATTAGTTCTCGAAGCACCTATTGCCTGTCAGATAATGAGAGGGACTGTTAGACAATGCGGGGGGTGGAGGGGGCAGGGGGGCCTGAGCGGATGCTGCCCGTGGACACCAGCCTCAGGGAGTGGGTTCTGTTTGTACAAAAGAAACTGAGGCAGAGAAGGTAAGGAACATGCCAGGCACCGGTCATGTCATCCACAGGGGTTACTGCATAAACCAGCGGTTCTCAACCTGTGGGTTGCGACCCTTTTGGGGGTCGAAAAACCCTTTCACAGGGGTCACCTAAGACCATTGGAAAACACATCTATCATTACATAATGTTTTTGTGATGAATCACTATGCTTTCATTATGTTCAATTTGTAACCATGAAAATACATCCTGCATATCAGATATTTACGTGACGATTCATCACAGTAGCAACATGACAGTGATGAAGCAGCAACGAAAATAATTTTATGGTTGGGGGTCACCACAACATGAGGAGCTGTATGAAAGGGTCGCGGTGTTAGGAAGGTTGAGAACCACTGGCATAAACCAAACCCGGGCACCCCGCTGCCTCCCCTCCCCCGCCCCCCCCCAGCCGGTGGAGGGGACCCTGAAGGAGGCAGGCTACCTTCTGTCCCACCTCAGGCCCTGCCCACCACCGACCGCTCTGAAGTCTCGGTTCCTTCACCATAAAGCGGAGGTCCCACGCTCCTCCGCCCCAGATTCCCGCGGAGGGGGGGAGCGGGCGCTGCGGCCAGAGGCTCTGCCAGGGCCTCACACACTCCCCAGCCGTGGGACCTTGGGCCAGCCCTCCTCTGCTCCTGGGAGTCCCGACAGGTTTGGGGGGCAGTGAATAAGACAGTGGGTGTGAGAACCTGGGGGACTAGGAAGTGGGGGAAGAAGTGGTCGGTGGCTCTGGCCGGTGTGGCTCAGTTGGTTGGAGTGTCGTCCTGGGCATCCAAGGGTTGCAGGTTCGATTCCCGGTCAGGGCACATGCCCGGGTTGCGGGCTCCATCCCCAGTAGGGGGCGTGCAGGAGGCAGCCGATCAGTGATTCTCTTTCACCATTGATGGTTCTCTCTCTCCCTCTCCCTTCCTCTCTGAAATCAATAAAAATATATTGAAAAAATAAATAAAATAAAATAAAAAATTCAGAGGAACGGGTAAGATGAGGACCCTAACAAGAAGGAATGACAGCTCGGCCTTGGGCCCTGGTTTGGCATCCGGCAGTGGCCAGACAGCTGGATGGGCAGCGGAGGCCCAGCCGTGGGGACCATGAGACGGGCCTAGGCCTCCCAGGGCCCACCAAGGGCCCCACCCCGAGTGGCTCTCACTGTTCTCTCTTGTCCCCCTGGCAGCCCCGAAGAATGGCAAGTGCCCCGCACCCCGGGAGCCCCGGATGGGCAGGACTCATGGAAGCGCCCGCCGCCAGCCCTGGCCTCCCGCCTCCAGGACCTGAAGGGGACTCGGGTGAGCGGAGGCCTGGGGCGTGGTCGGGGGAACGGAGGTGGGAAGATGTTGAAACACACATGTGGGCACCTCAGCAGAAGCCAGGAGACAGCAGGGCACCTCCCTTCGCTCGGCTCATCCCGCAGGGGACACGGAGCCGGGCCACAGGGGCCCGCCTGCAGGCCAGAAGTGGAGCCTGCGACACACGTTGCATTTTGCAACCAGAGCCACCTGGGGAGGAGGGGCCACTTCAGGTCGTCCGTCCCGTCCGGGGCAGGATGGGTTCAGCCAGGTGGGGCCCAGGGTCGGGCTGGTGCCCGGCTCGCCCTGTTCTTGGTCAGATGGGGACGGGGGGAGTCACAGCTCTTCTGGGAACCCCATGTCCCATCCAGCCAGACCCAGGCAGACCCAGGCACCCCTCCCCCAAGCCTGGCCCCCACGTGCACGGGCCTGGTACAAGGCCTCGGGGTGCTGTTCTTGCAGACGCGGCTGGCAGCCCGAGCGCCCACTCCAGCATGACCACGCGGGAGCTGCAGGAGTACTGGCGGGGCGAGAAGGGCAGCTGGAAGCCCGTGAGGCTGCTCTTCGAGATCGCCTCGGCCCGCATCGAGCAGGAGAGGCTGTCCAGGTTTGTGGTAAGCACCGGGGCGGGGCTGCGGGCCGCGGCTCCCCAGCCTGGACGGGCTCACACACACGCACCCGCGGTTCTGCCGGGGAGATGCTGGGGAGCAGGGCCAAAGGGCAAGACGGCGTGCTGGGCAAGTGACCGCTGCCATGAGGCCCGGAGGCCTGTGAGCCACGGCCCCCGATCCCCACAAGGAGTGAGCCCTTTGTCCCACGTGACCTGGGCTTGGGCATCTGGGTCCCCGCGCCGCGTTGCCACATGCCTGTATCAGTGACACTGTCACTTACCTAGGAGTTTCCTTTAAAATGGGTCACTTCTTGGAAGACACTACATAGATGCTTCTCTAGGAAAAAGCCTCCAACAGGAAAGCCAGGCCCTGCGGTAAAGAGAAGGCGGTCGTGGTGCCCAGGCCGGTGTGGCTCAGCGGGCGGAGCATCGGCCTGAGCACTGGAAGGTCTCGGGTTTGATTCCCAGTCAAAGGCACGTGCGTGGGTTGCAAGTCCGATCAGGGCACAGACAGGAGGCAACCAGCTGATGTCTCTCCCTCACATCGATGTTTCTCTCTCCCTCCTTCCCACTCTCTCTAAAAATCAATGGGGAAAAATATCCTCCAGTGAGGATTAAAAAAAAAAGTTCCTGATGGGACAGCTCTGGCGGGGGGAGCTGAGGTCACAGTAGGACGTCAGCCTGTGTTGGGGGAGACCTTCCTGACCCCAGAAGGGCCTCACCTTTGGGGCAGCTCCTCCGAGCACGCGCGAAGGCACCCAATGGACATGGATGTTTCTGTCTTTATCTCTCTTCCACTCTCTAAAACAGTGGTTCTCAACCTTCCTAATGCCGCGGCCCTTTCATACAGTTCCTCATGTTGTGGTGACCCCCCCACCATCAAATTATTTTTGTGGCTACTTCACTACTGTCATGTTGCTACTGTTATGAATCGTCACGTGAATATCTGATAGGCAGGATGTATTTTCATTGTTACAAACTGAACATAATGAAAGCATAGTGATTAATCACAAAAACAATACGTAATTATATATGCGTTTTCCGGTGGTCTTAGGCGACCCCTGTGAAAGGGTCGTTTGACCCGCAAAGGGGTCGCGACCCACAGGTTGAGAACCGCTGCTCGGGTTGAAGATGAACATATTACAAAAAAAAAAAAGCGCATTTTCAGGGTGTGCTTTAAATCCCCATCATCATTCTTCCCGTCGCCAGGCTCGCTCTGGCAGTGCAAACCCTCCTTGGGATGCGCTCCGAGGCCACCTCTCTCTCTCTCTCTCTCTCTC